TAGAGGCAACGGAGTTCGCATTTTCAATGAAAATTAAAAAACTTTCCCATTCGTACATTAATGTACATTTTGAGTGTTTTAGATACGATGATTTTCACTATCAACTGCATTTCATTGTGTTTCTTTTGCTTTTATTTCCTTGCGATTTCTCAAATCTGCCAGACTATATTATACAAAAAGACTTTGTGAGTATCAAAAAATGCGCCATCTTTCTTCAAGGTGCGTGGCTTGACAACTACTACTTTATTGAGTTTTCTCGACGATAGAAGAGCATGTCTGTCTCTCTCTGTGTCCTATGGCTATAGCAAGGCAATACGACAAAAGTTACCATTGTTTTGAAAGACTCTACAATAATCGAATTTGACTTGATCGCTTTCAAAACTTCTTACTGAGACAAATTTTCATGGTAATTGTGGTAGCGTCATGGTACGACGGCCTTCAACTCCAGTAGATGTTTATACTGGTTGGCAGTTATCTTCAATCTGTCTTTGCAGAGAGGTCCAGCAGTAACCGTCGTACACAGGGTGTTCAGCTTTCTTGGTCCTTGCAGCGCCTGCCATCCGTCATCAAAGTTCAGCTTGTACTGAATTTTAAAGTATGAATTTACTTGGATGCCTGCAAGTCAGTGACAGTAGGATCGCCTTCTTTTCTCCTAGGACGGATTGTTTAGTGCTGAAAAAGCTTTGGCCCAGGTATATAACTTCATAGGGCCTGGGGATGCGTCTGGCTTTGAGCATGATGTTCACATAGTCCATTGGGATTTACATCAGTGCGTTTTGGAGCGATCGCTCAATAGTGCCATGGACTGAATCCACTTCCATTTGGGTATGGCCCTTGGTGAGAATTTTTGCTCAACTGTGATGTCAAGCTCTTTGGCCAGCGAGGCCATTGCCCTCACCAGGGTGGCATTTCTGTTTTAGTAGTTGCACCAATCACTGCATATGATGAAGTGGTTGAAGTCAGTCACTTGCAATATCAGTTAGTGAGTCAGACAAGATGAAAAATGTTGAAGCTCAGACCAACTTCACTTTCATACCAGACATATCATCTGGCGTCTCTGGTGGCAAGATCCAAAATCGTAAAATTGTGTACAGCCAGTTTTGTTTTATAATGTAAGGTGGATGCCTTTAGTGATGAGGCCAGAAGAACGCACTGGATCTCCATACAAAGGACACACACTTTGTTCTCTGGGTTCAGTGCAGCTTCCCTGTCCTTCTCCTTCTCTGGTCTAGCTGCAGCTTTCCTCATATTCATATTTGATGAGCTGTGTATTCTGTTTCTGTGAGGTTTCCTGATTCGAAGCTGGTGCAAATGTCGCACTGGTCTTTCTTGGTTGAAAGTACACCCAAATTGTTTTTCTTGAACTTCTGGCAGAACACTTGATAGTTCAATGTGGCTTTCACCCCCTCTGCAAAGTTCTCCATGTATACTTGATGCAGATCTGACGTTTTCTGGATTGTCATCTGTAGACAGGAGGATATCTTCGAAAGTTGGTAAAAAAATTCCTCTTTATGGAACAACTTGTGATCCTTGGCTCTCTCATTGTGGGCATGATGTGTTCTAGGGGGAAGGCGGGGGGTTTGGAGAAGACACTTTAAATAAACCAGTGGGTCGGGCCTGTGGTGTTCATGAAGATTGCTTTACAAACAGGTGTTCTTTGACCATTGACTCTTTTAAGTGGTTTTGAAGGGTGTAATTTTTCCTTGGGTTTTCACTTGCTGTGTTAGATCTCTTTTTGTGTATCCTGTTTATCGTGGCTTATACGTAGGCTCTCTTTTCTTTCCAAGAGAGTGACCAGTGATGTCATTGCATTTTGTACCAACCAGTTAACAACTGCCAAGGACATCAAGTTCACGCCCTGCTCGCTTCGTGCCTTGACATGTGTAGAGGCATCTCCTGTTCTTTCAACCTCTTTCTTTTGTTACCCTTCCAATCGTTTTCATGTGATGTCCTTTTCGCAGAGATCAAAGGTGACATAACTGTTGTATTATCAGCTGATGTGACATTAGCCTGGTCACGTTGATCACTTTCCACTGCGCTGAGGGTCAGAGGTGACGCAACAAGCGTGGCATCATCTTATTGAATGTTATAGCGTCATGTAAGTTAAGGTTTGATATAAAGATAAAGCATTATGTTATGACACTGAGAAAATAATCTACTCAAAACACAAACGAAATGAACTTTCAAAGAAAGTCGAAAGATGTTTCAGAAGGTAATGACTGCAATAAACACTGCAAATGAAAAGAAAGCACTTTAAACAACAATGATCGTTGGGGGCAGACGATGTGCTGGACAGGTACCACATTTTTTTTTCTGAGTGAGTTAGTAAAGAATGAAAAGCTACCGACTTCGTCCATTCAATTGCGATGGAAAAAATGATAAGAAGAGACAGTAGTCCGAATAAGAGAAAATGCCTTCATAATTCGGTAACTTTCAAATACAAAAACAAAGAACACATGTACAGAAAAAATAGTTTCATATAAAACAAAATCCATAAAGATGCGTTTGAAATACCGGCATTGTCTTGTCACGAGATGAACAGTTCTGTGGGAACAGTGGGAAGTTTTAGTCATTAATAACATTATCAGCAGCATTAAAACGAAGAAAAAAGAGGGAACAACCAGATCTATATAACTCCCAAACGAAACCAGCAAGAAATATTACACAAATTTCCATTTTGAAGAGCTCACACGGTTACGTGAGCGAATTCTGGACTATCAAAAGAAGTCCGGAGATGAGTCGAAGCCGGGGTTAGTCGGTAACGTAGCATGCGGCCCCTCGTTGTTAGCACGACAAAAACAGTCAACCCTCATTCCCTCCCTCACAGGTGGGATAGTCGGAAACATCGAGCTAAAATCCGATAGATGCCGGGTTATACGGTTTTATTTCTAATGTTTTAAAGACATTTCTAGACAAAATTTAGATCCGACTATGAGTAAGCATATGAAATGGACAATTTGCTGTCGATAGGGTCAATAAAATTTTTTGGGACATTTTGTGGGTTAGTCAGTTTTATCACCAGGCCGACGATATTTTGAAATATGAAAATCTCGTGGTTCTTTTGTTTGTTGTTTTTTCCTGGTTGAATACTTTGCTCATGTAACCAATGGTGGAATGTTCCAAAGGTCAACAATGAAGATATGTGAGGAATTTTCATTAGAGCCTAGAGTTTTCTCTTTTTATTTCACTTACAGTGTTAGCCTTTGTGAAATGAATATGACATGCTGCCGTGTAGATTTAGCTATCGTTTTAGATAGGGCTTACTGTCTTCCAGTGCCTAAAGCCTTACAGCTGTCTTTTCTTTCCCTGTACTCCTGTCTCCAGTTTTAGCAAGAAAATTGTCATTATGTCTCAAGCCATGATTTTGTAAAACTTTCTAATGCGCTTTAAAATCTATTTTTCCTTTCATTACTGTGTCCTTCTGTTCTAGGTATGGTGAGCTGAAGAAATCCCTGGGAAAAAACATGAGTGAAGCAGTAGATGACCTTCTCGCAAACTTCGACTCGGAGTTTGTAGTTGGGAAATTTGGTGGTGAGGTTGAAGGGTTGGAGCCCCGTATAACACCACTGGTTACTGACGACGAGGAGGTATCATCCTTTAATAGCTTGTGCGATCAGGTTAGAGCTGAGCTTCCTGTATGCTTTCTGTGTTGTTCAATTCTCACTCTGAGATTTGCAGTGCCGCTTCAAATCCCGTTAAGTTTTTAAGAATTTTTATTTTGAAAACACAGAGAGTGATGCCCTGTTTTTATTTTGAGTGTTAAAGGACTTTCACCTCACTTTAAATCACATCTCATTATACTCAATGTATTTGAATTAAATTTCACAAACTGATTAAAATATCTCTTTTAATAAACAGGGGTTAGAAGGGGAAGCATCATTTGATTTGATGGAATGAAATAGTGAAAGACCATTTTGTTAATGTCTCCATATATTGAGCTTAGTACGGGATGTGGAATACATCGTTTCTCATTTAATATTTTCCTTTTAACTAAGTTTAAGACCTCTTTTTGAGGATATACTTAACGGAAAATTTGTATAACCTTTAAAGAATGAGAAAACCCTTTTGAAAGAAAAGATGATATAATTTTATAAGTATTTCACAGTAATTCTGGTATTTGAAATTGGAGTGAGTATTGTTCAGTTAAGTGCCTGCCTAGCCATTTTCTTTTTTTTTCTTTTTTTTCTCCATTTTACCTTTTGCATGTGAGATAAAATATTTGTTAATGTCTTACTAGTCAGCTTTGTATTAGACTGCATATGTATGTCATAACACAAAATCTGTAGAAGTTATCAATTTGATTCAGATGTTGGCTGGTATTTATGTTTTGCTATGTCGATTCTATCATCAATCACCCTTAAGCACTGTGACAATGTTTTTGTTTGGTTCAGATATTGTGGGATATCTGGTTTGTAACCCTGTAAACAAGGGTGATACATAAGTAAATAAAAGTAAGTGGTACTTTCCATAATGTGCGAAGTAATATGCTGTTCTGCACTGCCAAGTCAGAGGTGCATGCTGGTAACAGTACTGCATACCATTATGTTTACGATATCAGCCTATATGGTGATACTGGGAATCAAGAAAGGGATAGGGGGCCTATTGAAATGGAGTGGTTAGAAGATGGGAAAAAAAAAATTATACTTTTATGTATGCAATTTGTGAAGAAATAGTGTGACTTAGACCTTATTAACATTACAAGAACAACGTTGTGATAAAATTAATCGGCTATGTCTTATAATGAACACTTTTCAGTTTCTTTGTCTGTTGTTTATTGTAGCAATGGCAGTGAGCTAGTGGCATTGAAAGAATTTCCTTTATGGAGCTTTCTCAGAGTAAGCTCAGGTATCATTATTTGCAAATAGTTTTGGCAATGGAGCAGCACTCTGGTAACATTTTTTTGTTTAGCTAGCTTACTCTCTTCAGACATCAAACTCTCCTTACTTCAAAGACAGCATCTTTGTAGGTTGATTGTCCATTTTGATATTCTTTGTGCTTGTGCCCTTAAATTATTGTGGAAAAGAAGAAAACATGTTCTGAAAAATAACACATGTCCATGACGCTGCTTGCAGTAACAAAAATGTTTTGCTCAGTGCAAAGCCATTTCTTCCTGTCTTTTTAGTTTCGATTTTATTCTTTTGTGTGTTTGTTTTCATTGTATTACTATACCATTTCCCAGATGATGTTGAAGGCAGACAACATTGTTTTTATGTCACTAAAGTGAGAGTGTCAGATGTGTCTGAGAAAGATGTCTAAACTTACAATTTTGCATTAACGATGTGTGTCCTGAATTTGGTGTTGGTGTCTTATATTGTTTTGTGACGGGCACTGTAAGAGGCTATTGTGGCATCCCCACTTGGTGACTGGCTTGTTTTGTGTTCACTCATGAACATTTACTTTTTGGAAGATTTTTGTTCGAGTGAATGGTGCTTATACTCGTTAGTCAAAGAACAATTTTTAAAAATCCAGTGTATATTAGAGAGACGGAGAAAAAGAAAGAAAAATACTGGGGGAGAGGAAAAAGTGGGAACTAAAACAGTGTTAGTTCTTGGGGGAGAGGTTGCCTCTGTTAAGAGCTTAGTGTATATTTTTTACAGGGGGGGGGGGGGGGGAGCAATAACTCTTTTATTCTTAGAATTTCGAAATCAGAAGTTTCTCCTTTGTATTGTGAGCCACTTTGGTACTGTATTTTTCTGTAACTTTTTTTCTAATATTGCAAACATAATCTCTTAATGTATTTTAATATGACAAGCTTGGCAAGATCTATAGTTGTGGACGGGTGACAGGTATCACTTGCTGGTCCAACTTCTTTCCTTATCTATTAATACTTCTGTCTGTCATCTCTATATGTGACAATAACTGTTTTGGCATGCTTTTGTTTTTATTATTAAAATACACAAAATATTAAACATATTAACCAAAAGTTTATAATGAAAGCTCAGCAAGACTTATATTATCCCATCTCTAACCATCGGTTATTACTTCTGTGCATGACTATCCCTCTCTTCATTGTTGTTGACTTTTATTATTTTGTTGCCTGAAGCTATTTGTATAGCATTATAGTGACCCAATTTGCTTCTTGTTACAGTTGCATGCAAAAAAAGAGAACTAATCTTTTGCTTTGGACAATAATCTTTGCATTCAAGCTGATTTTGTATTGTTATTTAGTATATGCTGAGTATCATTGATGTAGTTGGCTTAATATTTCATGATACAATTTTTACTGTTATTAGCTGAGTTCCTTTTAGTGTGTAGTAGATTTTTACCTTGAATGTTGTTGCCTTTGGATATTGTCACTCTAAGCATCACTGACAAGTCTGCTTGTATTTCTGAAGGTTTTGTTTCATCTTACCTATGATCCTTGAAAGCCTTTTCATTTTGGCACACTTTGGGTTATTATACTATTTTTCACTTTCTGTCTGAGAAATCATAATGGCTTGATTTTATTGAGAGGAGAAAATTTTAATATTCTTTAATATGCTTACCTCAGTGTTTGCCTAGCAGCCCAATTGAAATTATTTTATTTGGATTTAGCATTTTTCAAATCTTTAATGAAATAGGTCGTTTCTTACAGTCTGTTCAAGCAAGGCGTAAATTGGAAAGCTTGAAGCCATACAATTGCATCTGAATGTTTACTGACAGCATTAGGCCAGAGTTTTTTCCTTTTTCATCTTTCATAAATTTAAGTTTTTTTCTGTTAAAAATATTCATGCTTGTCAAAAATTTTACATTGCAGCAGAAACTGGAGATTAAAGGACGATAATGACATTTTTATTATCAAATATGTACGTCAAATTTTGCCTGCTTGCTGTCAGCTGTCATTATTCTAATTTTTATATCTTTCGTTTGTCAAATTCTCAGGGCAGTGTAATGATTTTCCACCAAGATCATCTCAAAGGCATAGCGGATAACTTGGGGAAAACAAAAAGCCCTGAGGTGAACTATTTTCTGCATTAGTTTCAGAAGTCTAATCTTCTCTTTTCATTTGACTTTTACGTGTAAAGACACTGAACCTTTACAGGTCTAATGGTTCTCAATTAAATGGGGGAGGAGTGTTGAGGAGAGAATACTTTCTAATTTCCTGATGACAGTTGATGTGTAATTGACTGCTTGACTATGTGTTCAAGCTCACTGTACAGTATAAAGTTAACGCAAAAGATGAATGGATTTTAGCTATGTTCATGATATTGAGTATCGGTTTACAGGGTTATTCATCAGCTTGCTATGAATGCTAGGTATATGAACATATTGTATTCCCATTCACTTTTCTGTGGAAGACTAGAGTAAATAATTTATTATGGTTTATATTTTTATTATTGTTATTTTTCTAAATGATCATAATGTTTGTTGTTAATCATTATTATCATTATTATTATTGTTATTTTTATTATTATTATTATCATCATCATTATTATCATCATTATCATCATTATTATTATTATTATTATTATTATTATTATTATTATTATTATTATTATTGTTATTATTATTGTTAATATCATAATCATTATGGTTATTGTTATTATTATTTATATTATTATTATGTTATTATTATTGTTATATTTTTATTACTGTTATACTAGTACGATTGTTATTGTGATTATTGTTATTGCCATCATTATTATCATCAGCATTATTATCGTTAATACTGTTATTATTTCTATGTTCTACTCAGGTGCAGAGAGAGGCAATGCAGAAACTCAATCAAATCATCTCTGGGGAGATTGTTCATAATAAACACTGGCAGCAACTGCGCAAGAATCTCATGGATGTCATGGCTGATCCTGATCAACAGCTCTCGGTTTGTTCGAAAAAACATTATTTATTATTGTAGGATTTGTTTGTAATGTTTGTTGTTGTGGTGGATGACCGACATCGACCTTATATAGGCCTATATATGATATATATATAGTCTCACACACACATGTATAATATGATGTAACAGCAATTTAACAAACGCAACTGATTTTGATGTCTGGTCAAACACGAACTCATGATCAAGATATTTTTTTCTATACAAACAGACATGGAGGTACAGACACAGGTTATCAAGTATGTGCTACGTGGGCACAGATTTCAAACCAAAGTACATTACATAGAGTAATCAGAATATACTAAATAGTGAATGCATTTCAGGGTACTCAGGTCAGCTCTATTGCCACTACCCTTGTTGATGAGAAGAATACTCGTCAAATTGCTGTATTAATTTGCTCTTCTCAACAACAAGAGTACGCTGTCAAATTGCTGTATCTTGCTCCTCTCAACAACAAAAGTACAGTGTCAATTTGCAATTTTCTTTCTTTATTGTTATGTGCCTATATTGTGCTGAAAACTGCTTTTCAACACCAACATTTTGTGGTAAATTCCCCTGGTTTCTTATGCATGTATTTTTTATAAATGTAATTTGTTTCACTTATGATGGAACCCAAGTTTTTTTGTGTAAATTTAATTAAATGCAAAGCCTGTCTGTTCAAAAACTTGTTACTGCCATTATTAATCTTTCCAACAGGAACTGAGTCTCAAATTTGTAGCAAAATCCTTCACGTGCACATCTCATCACACAAGCCAAGTCTACACACTGTTAAGTAAGTATGTCTAAACCACAGCCAAATGTGAATTGAATGTTAAGTGTAAAACAAGGTTTTGGTAGCTACCCCATCATTTATTTATAATATTTATGCCTCTACTCTTCTCACCTCAGCTTGATAAAAGGAGATAAAAAAAAAGTACAGTGACATTTGTGAAAATCCTTGTATTGAGGTAGGGATTGTTTTTAAAGTGTTAAATCATCAAATGAATGAGATTCTGGTATTGTACTGTGGACAGTCTCTTTTGTTTCTTTCATTATAGAGATGTGAAAAAAAAAATTTAACATGTTTTTCTATATAAATAGATGTTCTAGAAAAGCTCCTTTGAATCTCACACTCTGACATGATGTTTGGGATAAACTGTTTCCCTTTTTTAAAATTTCCCATTTTGATGATGTGTGATAAGTGTTTTTGCAAAAATGGTAATTCGTGTTCCAATGCGATGTATGGTAATTCCTGCATTATTTCTTTTTTTTTCTACAGTTGGTTTCCTGTGTAGCCAATTTTCAGGGATGAATGCGAGCATGCCTCCAGTTAAAAATGGTTTAGATTGTTCAAATAAGACAACAGTGAAACTTCTCAAAGCGGTAAGTTACCCAAGTGCTGATATATTTAGTTTTGTTGTCACTGTATTTAGGAACATTAGCTGTCTCTTCACATGAACTCACCTTTCTGGCTAAAGCTTTCATTTATTGAAACAATGGGAATTCTGTTAATCAGAAAATTCCAAGACCAGGAGTTAATTTTACATTTGATCCAATATTGTGGTGTGAATACTAATGCGACATGTGTTCCACTCTTTTTTTTAGTCTTCAGGTTTAGGTGCTATCGCCTGATCTGATTGTGAATACAAGAATTGATTATAAGAAAAAGAAGAACAAGAACATACCTCTTAAAATGTTGAAAAATGGTTGTAGTTAAAAAAAATAAAAATATCCTGTTCGATTTTGGCTAAAACAGCACCTGGGCTTGGATGACTGGTGCTTCTGTGAATAAATTATTGATGATGGTCTTATTCGCTGCTCTTAACCTCGTTTGTTTTCGATGCAATGTCCTCTGAATTCATCGATTTATTGAAATGTTATGCTTTTGACCTGCGTTAATGAAGTCTCAGTTTTGCTTTGGTGTTGAACACTGCACTTATCTTTTGTTTTATTTTGTTGTTGTTTATTTCAGTTTCGGCTCATGATTGAGTTCCAGCACGAGGCCCCCAACTATTGGGTGCGCTACCCAATGACATATCTGGAAGAGATAGTGGAAAGCTCCTTGAACCTGTTTTCCCTTCAGATGGTGACACAGGCTCCGCTCACGAAATTGTCACCCCTACATTTTGTGGCAGTTTTGGATCCAAAAGCACAGTGGTTTATCAAATGGATGGTAAGTGACTGGTTTCAGTTGGTTTGAGTATACCTCCCCCCCCCTCCCCCCCCCCCCTCCTACATCCTGGGGCTGGTTTGAGTGTAGTTTGGGTAATTGTATTGACTTAAAAAAGCATTAAAAATTGCTTACCTGGCATCTAGTGTTCTATGTTTGAGTAAATTCTGTAATGACCTGTTTACAAGTTTTATTTTAAATGTCTGTGGATTTATTTTACAACCTTCATGATATATTTCTGTATTATACAAACTATTCATAATAAAGTGATGTGGTGTCTACTTGAGAAAGTAAGCTTAGTCATTGCTTTGTTGAGAAGGTCTTGATCTTCTTCTGCTTAGTGAGAAATTTTGATAATGATTAAAGATAAATGCCTTTCCTTTTCTTTCTTGATATGTATTAGAGGCAGGAATGACAGGTGGTTCATCTTTGAATAGTTTCATTTTAAGATAGCACAGTATAGGGCCTTTTTGAAGTTGAAATGTATTTTGGAATCTTTTGTCAACAGCATGGAAACTACAGCAGAAAGATTTTATTGGAACTATTGGAAAAGTACCGTGTGATTGTAAGTAATAAATATTGCCTCAACTGATTAACTGGGAAATGAATCGATTTGTTTAATGCTCAGCTAAGGTCTAAAGAGGAGAGAGAGAGAGAGAGAGAGAGAGAGAGAGAGAGAGAGAGAGAGAGAGAGAGAGAGAGAGAGAGGGAGAGAGGGAGAGAGAGAGAGAGAGGGAGGGAGGGAGGGAGGGAGGGAGGAAGGGAGGGAGGGAGGGAGAGAGAGAGAGAGAGGGGGGGGGGGAGTGGAAGGGAGAGAGAGAGAGGGACAGAGAGCTAGAGGAGGAAGAAAGGAAGAGAGAAAGGGAGTTAAGGTTAAGAAAAAGAGAGGGTACAAGCAACAGAGAATGCTGCTGGCTTGTTGGAGAGAAGAACTGAAAGTACAAAGATGATATATTGAGAAAGGGAGAATAAAGAGATGTGGCAAAAAGTAGATATTAACTAATGGGTGGGTAAACTGGAATAGAAAGCAAGTTGTCCTTTGAATGAGCTTGGAGCCTCATTGAACTCTAACGAATGTCCTTTTAAGATTATTTTGGAAAAGATGAAAACTGTTGTTTGTTTCGAATGGTTATCGGAATAAATGCCAAAGAAATTATATTATTTCCTAAATTAATTTTTTCTAAATATTACGAGTGCTAACACATCATTGTTATCTTTTAAAGTAGGATTAAAAGGTAAACGCATACATGTTCTTTAGAAAAATGTAAACGCATCCCGCTGAGTTTTTTACAAACTGTTCAAAATTAGAAAATTGTTTGTGTGGTTTGGAAGAAAGTATTTTCCTCTGTATATTTTGATTTTCACAGGTAGAGACATCTTTGAGACACTGTCTGGACTTCTCGGCTTTTCGAAAAAGCTCACTTGACAGCATGAGTGAAGTTTCTGATGCATTTTCAAAAGTGTCTGTCAGTGAGTAATAGAGTCAAATACTTTTCTAATTTCGCTTTCACAATGTTTCGGGGAGGTTTCCCATATATTTCAACATAACTTTGTCCATGGCTTTGGTGCCTAGCATTGATTATGTTTTCTACTGCGTAAGGCTCTGTTTGATTAAAGGAGAAAAGCCGATCTGTGGGTTTCTGCATAAAAAGAACTTTAATAAGATGTGATTTTAATGACTGTTCCGAGAAAAAATGGAGAGATATTGGTATTCATGTATGTGAAAATTATTAACGGTCCCAAGAGTCATCCCTAGTTTACCCTCTTACTTTCTAAGTCTTTTTTTTTCTTTTTGCTAAGTCTTTTTTTATATCTGTCTGTCTGGCTTCTTGGTTAGTTCTCTGTGAGCTTCATCTGTCTGCTTTCGCTGATAAAAAATTATAAATTATTTTGTTGAAGAAACTGTTCTGAAAGGAAACTGGAAGCATTTAATGCTTGCTCTATGCTGTTTGATTAACTTATCTACCTTTTTCACAACATAAACGTCAACAATGGATTTATGTTCCATGTTCTTTGAATGGTTTGACTGTATTCTGCTAGGGAACGAACCATTTGTTTTAATTATATACAAATATGTTCCATTTAAAAAGAATTGCTTCAGGAGGCAAGTTTCTATTGTCAAAGTACTTGAGCATTATTATGTATTGTTCAATACTTCATTTTTAATTAGTTTCTGTAAACTGTATTACATTTACTCACAAATTAAAACCTTTGGTTTGGACTGTTACTTCTTTAACTGATTCCATCCCTGATTTTTTCAGGCTCTGGACAGAATTATTTTCCCCTGTTCAGTTTTAGAACTGGGGTCCTTCTATTTAATTTATTACTGTGAAGCTCTAAGTTACTCTAATATGTATTGTCATATACCAAACTGATGGAAATCAGTAGAGGAATCTGTTTATATCAATAACAATGACCTTTAATATGTTTGTATTGTATTTTCCCTGAGACAAAAATGAATGAGAAAAAAAAAATGGCCCGACACTTCTTCAAAAATTTCGACTTACCTCATTTTCTCAGCTCTACAAGTCCTTATAATCCTTAGGCATCAACACAAAATTGTAGCAATATCACCCTTGCACACATTTATGCTAGAATTTCACAAATTTAGTTGAATATCTTTCTTTGAAGGGCCTTTTTATTATACCAGGCTCTGTGTTGTTTACCCTTACATAGCGACAACAAAACAACAATTTTCGCAAGAATTTCGTGGACTTTCGATTGAGTTTGGCGCTCACAGATTGAGGTCAGGCTTGTTTACAAGTTCTACTTCCTTTCGACAACTTAAAAAGTAGAAACTATGTTAGAAAATGCACATTTGTTTCAGATTTCGCTCGGATTTCGTTGAGCCACTCACAGTGGTCAAATGGTGGCAGCAGAAAAACTCAGAGCAGCTGTCAGCGGCCGAATGAACGGAATCAGTTGAAAAATGTTACAACAATCCTTGTGTATTCTTTCTCAAATGAAATGATTGGCATACTGACTTGCAGTTGACTACCACTGAACACATTCAGCACATTCCTGCTTTTTCCGTAATGGTATTCTGAAACCCCAGCCACTGCACTACTGTCTCGTTTCATTCTGTTTGTGAAGGCTGGAATCTGCACTCTTCATTGCAACCTTTTTAATATTATGTTGTTCGTTGCATGTTTGTCTTTACTGCAGTTACATTGTTTTAATGCTCCAAAATCCCATTCTTCACGTATGTGTAATGCATGGATTGCTTTGTTTCTGTTCAGCCGACCATGGCCAGCGACTGTTCTACACAGGTCCAGAACTTGAGTATGCCTTGTTCATCCACTCTTTGTCATTTCTGGGCAGACTGCTCTGTTTCAAGAAAGGACAGCAGTTTTTTCCGGTCAGATTCAGAGAGAAACAAGGTAATCTTTTGTTTTTAAAGAAAATGCTTCCCTGAACCTGCCATGTCTCAGAACTGTGAGATAATTGTACTCTAAATTTCTTCTTCGTGTAAGGAAGATACTATCGAACAACCTTTCTGTTTCATCTATTTGAGGTTTCTTTGGTTTGTTTTGTATAAGTTTATTACCTTACTAGAAACAAAAAGGTTATTTTAGATGTGGATTCTTCTTGTACAGGTTAAGAATGGGCTTATGCTGTACTGATAAAAAACAAATCTGGTTAAAACCCTCCCCTGCATTTATCCCTGTTCAGTCATTTAGGATGAGAGCAGTAATTTGTCCTATTTAGATATTCATCAAGTGTTTTGATATTTTTCTCCAGTCCCAGTGTCCATCACGCAGCTTCTGAAAGCTCTGGTTCTGTTAGTGGTTGATCCTGGCATGTCAGCAGCGCACAGGAGAGTGGAAAAAGATAAAGGTAATGTCGCATCACATCACTTCAAAATGAGAAAACTTTCGTCCTCTTGATTTTTTTACATTTTGAGGGTATGAAGACTATAGAGATAGTATGTGTACTACTGGTAGTGGTTGCCATTGTGAAGTCATGATATCTTTTAACATGTCCTTTCTTACAAACTTTTTGCTGTTTCTTTACTGTAACTTGATTCTCTTTCACCAAAGTACTAGTTTACCTCAATTTTATGTAATTTGCTCTTCAGTTCTGAGAGAAGAAGCATCTCACCTGTAAATGATGAATTCATGTGTACTCTCGGGTTTTCATAGATTTTCTTCTAGTAAACATACAGAGTTCTTGCCCATAACCAAAGACATGAGCCATTGCTTTGCCTCTTAAGATGTTTGTCTGCCCCATAAAAAGTATGGCCGGAATATTGTCAGTTGAGAGGATTATAGCTTTTATTGGTATTTTATTGAGATGTTTAATTTTTTTTAAAGGCATCATTGTCTTCTGCTTTGACTTTTTTACTCTACATTTCTGTTGCTCAGATACCTTTGAGTTCACAACTTTGGTGACGGAAGTCCTGAGATCTCTTTGCGCCACGGAGCAGGTGTGTAGCTCCATCATGTGCCGAGACGAGATCATCTCCACTCTGCTCTCCCCTGTCTCACAGTACATGGACGAGTCACCGGTAATGTGAAGTCACAGAGTTGTTTTTGTTCTTATAGGGGTTTTACTGTTAATGGTGTTTTTATTTTTGTTATATTATTACTGTTCTCTCTTTTTCTTTTCCTTCTTCTCCTCCTTCATCCCATCTTCTTTGTCCCTTTTTGTCTGTGTTCCCTTGAGCTTGTATGCTCAATTAATTCTGTTGGCATCGTACTTGGCGGCAATATAGCGTACCCAAGTTCAAATCCCTGATATGATGCTCCTGAACTTTGGATGCGTGGAGAGCTTTCTTGGCTCTCCACCACTGGGCCCAATCTTTTCACAGATGGATGTTATATTTGGCAGCATTAGCTCGTGATAACTTTTTTTCTGAGGTTTTCTCTTCTTCTGCTTCTCAGTGTCCCTTAACCCTAATTTGTTTCAAGCAGAATGCATCTTTGTTGTAGCAGTGTGCCTTAAATGACAATTTAATAACAACAGCAACGATAGTACATTTAGATATCTGTGTATGTTCTTTTTTCCAAAAGTATTTGTTAAAATTCCAGGTAAATTGTGTGTGAACAAACTGATGGCTGTATGTTCAAAATACAAGAAACTGTTATGCAAATGCTAAATTCCATGACACTTTAACAAAATTGTGCAGGACATTAATTTCACCCAATCATTAGTCTTTATACATTACAGGTGTAAAATAGTTTCAGAGGTTAGTCCGATGGAATACACAAAAAACATTATTTGAAAATTAAAAGATTTTTGTTAAAATTTCAAAACTTATGAGTAGCACTAGTAAGTTTTCATTTTTGTGAGGATTAAATCGCGAAAGATGCATCTTGAAATGTCTCTAGTTTTTTAAAGATTTATGATCAAGCTTTACAACAGCGTAGTACATCGTACCCTTCCAAGTAGTTACATATCTAATAAGAAAACTCACTCACTCTTTGTAAAGTGATTTTTCTATACCGTGATAGTAAAAGTTGTCCCCAATTTCATAATTGTTTTAGGCTATCATTTGAAAGCATATTCTTTTCCATTTTTCAAATTATTGGCATCCGACAAATTTTGGAATCAGCACAGTGACTTGACCTGATTTGAGAGCTGGTTTTTCAGGGATTTTAGGGAACATTGTGACTGGTCAGTTGGATTGTAATGTGTTTTATCATCGCATTTCTATTGTCAGGATCACATTCCTCCTGGGGAAGACACTTTGGTCCATGTTGCCAACATCTTGTGTGTTATCGCATCCAGCACCAAGGGTCGCCGCTACTTGCTCTATGGGGAGGGCCAATCCATTCATTCCAGGACCAAGTATGATATGATTTATGTATACTTTTTCCCTCTAGTCCTTTGCAGCCAAATAATATACCTCAAAGATCTGTTGAGTACAAGGAAGGAGTTAAATTCATGGATTTTTTTGGAAAGGAGGACAAGACTGGTTTCTGTATAATTATGAGTTTTTCTGCAGACATCAAAACGTGATGCACCAGAATTCAGAGTATCAGTCATTCCTTGCCCTCGCTGCAAACCAATGTACGACAAATACTGTAGTCTGTTGTGCTCGAACCGTCTCTACAATTGTCACCAACAGGCACAGAGTTTGTAGTGTGGATCTTTTATACAGAAATTGCTGTGTCATTTTTGTATAGTGAAGTGCATCTATTACCCAGCTGAACTGGCTATAATTATAATCTAAAACTAGTGTCAACTCATTTTATTATTGTTATTGTTGATTCATTTCACTTCTTGGACATACTTGGTTTATTTTGTAAAATAAAAGTGTAATCTCAGGAGGGGTTTTAAGCATCAAAGGCCTGTTGTGCTTGTTTTGTGGTATTTATCAATGTTGTTTCAATTCTTGTTTGATTTTCTTTCAATTGAATTTTTAAAAACATTTTTTTTAAATTTACTTTATTCATAGCTTAGAAAAAGTCTGCATCTTACACTGATTGTTTTTGTCCTTTCCCACAGATCGTCTTCTGCTCATCAGATTGCGGAGTTTACCAAGAAGTCTCTATCAAACACACTGTCCAAGTCATATGTGCCACCATCCAACAATGTTGTCGGAGTGTATCTGTATATCTGCAGGCAGTTGTACAACACCTGTGAGGGTCTGTTTGTTTTATCTTCTTACGAACTTCACAACTCGATTGCACAGGCTTGGAAACAGGTAAACTTCTTCGAACTCTCCTCGGGTTGACCTTTGTTTTCAATCATTTAATGGTTTCACTGCAGATAATAGGTGGCTACCGCGAAGTGGCATGCCCCTTGTAGTTCACAAGTGCCCTCATCTGTTCTTTCCAAAATGTTGTTGTTGTGCTGATTCATCATAAACTACAACTCTACTAATGGACAATATAGCAGACAGTTATAAATAACATCCTTTGTTGACCCAATTAACCAGGGGCCAGTGGATGCACCATGAGCAACATATAACTCTTCGGGTTCGCTAACATATTAAAAGTCATACTGATTTTTATTAAGTTCTCAGAGTATTTTTCATCTTTAATCTGTGATCACGTATTACGCATATCGCGACCTCAGTGCTTTCTTGTTGTATCTCAATTCTTTTAAGAGTGAAAATGTGACATCCTCTTAAGCTCACTCTTTGTTATGAACTGTTTTCACTGTTATTAAAAATGGAGATATGACAAGAAAGCACCGGTGTCGCGGTATGATGCTTTGGTACATTTTGTCAAACGAGCTCCCATTTATGCGGTCATGTACTTCATGCTTCATTGTGAGACCTCGTGGGATAACGTTTCCACCATTTGATGTTCCCTTGTAATGTATAGTTTGACCAGCTTTATGAATGTGTTTGTGAAGTATCCTGTGTAGCAGTATTTTGCACAGCAGTTTCACAGACAGAAACGCAAGGGAAACTTTCACATATTAAATAGGTTTTTTAAAAGTTCTACTGTAGATGACTTAACCTTTTGAGCCCTGACCTCCAGAGGCTACCATAACCCTCTGCCTGAGCTCCTGGATGAATCATGCCCTTATTACTTACATTCATATCATCGTCAAAATCACATTCCATATCCCATTCAGGGTAGTCCTTGTCATTACAGAAGTCTCCGCCTAAGATCCCACCGCTTATGGTCCCGGTTCGCCTAAGATCCCGCTGTTTTGGAAAAACAGAATTTTTACTATATTAAAGTCACCCTTAAGATCCCACACTGAAGGAGCTACATTTGGCCAAGATCCCGCTTTCCAGGTCATAACTTAGTTATTTTTTTCTTTATTTAAGAAAATATCGACCAAGCAGCGAAAATGTGCGATCAATAACGGTACGTCACATTGCTTGAAGCCAACTGGTTCCCACCTGACGAATATCTTTTTTTAATTTTTTATTTTCAAAATTTTTTATGCATCCAAGCAAAACTGTGTTGCATAATCGCTTCTTACAGGTAACAAAGGTGAAAAATACACAAATAAACATCACAGATGTATTGTACTAACCATACAGAAAATTTTGGTAGGCCTATATAATATGTTGATATTTATTTGAATTTGTGGCCCCAAAGACCTGTGAACTACACACTAGTCACCATCTTATTTCGCGCCCCCCCCCGAAAAAAATTTGTCCGCAAACCGAAAATAATGCGTAGCGAATGAGTTAACGCCCTTATCAACACAAGTAGGTCATTTAAGAGGCAGGATCTCCGAATTTAACGTTCATCTCCAAAAGGACTGAGCCAAATAGGAATGGTTATTGTTATTATTATTTATATTATTATTATGTTATTATTATTGTTATATTTTTATTACTGTTATACTAGTACGATTGTTATTGTGATTATTGTTATTGCCATCATTATTATCATCAGCATTATTATCGTTAATACTGTTATTATTTCTATGTTCTACTCAGGTGCAGAGAGAGGCAATGCAGAAACTCAATCAAATCATCTCTGGGGAGATTGTTCATAATAAACACTGGCAGCAACTGCGCAAGAATCTCATGGATGTCATGGCTGATCCTGATCAACAGCTCTCGGTTTGTTCGAAAAAACATTATTTATTATTGTAGGATTTGTTTGTAATGTTTGTTGTTGTGGTGGATGACCGACATCGACCTTATATAGGCCTATATATGATATATATATAGTCTCACACACACATGTATAATATGATGTAACAGCAATTTAACAAACGCAACTGATTTTGATGTCTGGTCAAACACGAACTCATGATCAAGATATTTTTTTCTATACAAACAGACATGGAGGTACAGACACAGGTTATCAAGTATGTGCTACGTGGGCACAGATTTCAAACCAAAGTACATTACATAGAGTAATCAGAATATACTAAATAGTGAATGCATTTCAGGGTACTCAGGTCAGCTCTATTGCCACTACCCTTGTTGATGAGAAGAATACTCGTCAAATTGCTGTATTAATTTGCTCTTCTCAACAACAAGAGTACGCTGTCAAATTGCTGTATCTTGCTCCTCTCAACAACAAAAGTACAGTGTCAATTTGCAATTTTCTTTCTTTATTGTTATGTGCCTATATTGTGCTGAAAACTGCTTTTCAACACCAACATTTTGTGGTAAATTCCCCTGGTTTCTTATGCATGTATTTTTTATAAATGTAATTTGTTTCACTTATGATGGAACCCAAGTTTTTTTGTGTAAATTTAATTAAATGCAAAGCCTGTCTGTTCAAAAACTTGTTACTGCCATTATTAATCTTTCCAACAGGAACTGAGTCTCAAATTTGTAGCAAAATCCTTCACGTGCACATCTCATCACACAAGCCAAGTCTACACACTGTTAAGTAAGTATGTCTAAACCACAGCCAAATAGGAATTTCGTGTAAAGTGTAAAACAAGGTTTTGGTAGCTACCCCATCATTTATTTATAATATTTATGCCTCTACTCTTCTCACCTCAGCTTGATAAAAGGAGATAAAAAAAAAGTACAGTGACATTTGTGAAAATCCTTGTATTGAGGTAGGGATTGTTTTTAAAGTGTTAAATCATCAAATGAATGAGATTCTGGTATTGTACTGTGGACAGTCTCTTTTGTTTCTTTCATTATAGAGATGTGAAAAAAAAAATTTAACATGTTTTTCTATATAAATAGATGTTCTAGAAAAGCTCCTTTGAATCTCACACTCTGACATGATGTTTGGGATAAACTGTTTCCCTTTTTTAAAATTTCCCATTTTGATGATGTGTGATAAGTGTTTTTGCAAAAATGGTAATTCGTGTTCCAATGCGATGTATGGTAATTCCTGCATTATTTCTTTTTTTTTCTACAGTTGGTTTCCTGTGTAGCCAATTTTCAGGGATGAATGCGAGCATGCCTCCAGTTAAAAATGGTTTAGATTGTTCAAATAAGACAACAGTGAAACTTCTCAAAGCGGTAAGTTACCCAAGTGCTGATATATTTAGTTTTGTTGTCACTGTATTTAGGAACATTAGCTGTCTCTTCACATGAACTCACCTTTCTGGCTAAAGCTTTCATTTATTGAAACAATGGGAATTCTGTTAATCAGAAAATTCCAAGACCAGGAGTTAATTTTACATTTGATCCAATATTGTGGTGTGAATACTAATGCGACATGTGTTCCACTCTTTTTTTTAGTCTTCAGGTTTAGGTGCTATCGCCTGATCTGATTGTGAATACAAGAATTGATTATAAGAAAAAGAAGAACAAGAACATACCTCTTAAAATGTTGAAAAATGGTTGTAGTTAAAAAAAATAAAAATATCCTGTTCGATTTTGGCTAAAACAGCACCTGGGCTTGGATGACTGGTGCTTCTGTGAATAAATTATTGATGATGGTCTTATTCGCTGCTCTTAACCTCGTTTGTTTTCGATGCAATGTCCTCTGAATTCATCGATTTATTGAAATGTTATGCTTTTGACCTGCGTTAATGAAGTCTCAGTTTTGCTTTGGTGTTGAACACTGCACTTATCTTTTGTTTTATTTTGTTGTTGTTTATTTCAGTTTCGGCTCATGATTGAGTTCCAGCACGAGGCCCCCAACTATTGGGTGCGCTACCCAATGACATATCTGGAAGAGATAGTGGAAAGCTCCTTGAACCTGTTTTCCCTTCAGATGGTGACACAGGCTCCGCTCACGAAATTGTCACCCCTACATTTTGTGGCAGTTTTGGATCCAAAAGCACAGTGGTTTATCAAATGGATGGTAAGTGACTGGTTTCAGTTGGTTTGAGTA